AACCCGCCTTAGATTTTAACAATAAGAATCTGTATTGCCTTGAGTTTTTATGTAAACAAGCAACAGTTTTTGAACAAATATACTGAAAAAATAAAAACAATGTACTTAATTACAAAATATCAACCTTCATTGAACAGTCTCTACTATCAAAAAGATCTTGATGAAATGATTATCATAACCTAATAAACTTTTGATTGAGAGTATGAAGCAGTTATTAAAAATAATTGGCGGCAATTACTTTATTTATTAAATTCTAATACCGAAACTCCAAGGATCTCTGTAGTGAACTCAATGGATCCAGTTTTTTATTAACATTAATATAACAAGGTTTATATTTTGTATATAGTATATAAATGGCAGTCTTTTATTATTTATTATTATTATTATTATTGTAAATAGCAACTTCTTTCTTTAACAAATATTAACACTTTTAATGCCTGTTATTCCTTTGACATCTATTTTTTTATATTGACGAAGCCACCATATTTTGGATTAGCAATAATATCTTTAAAGTCATCATGGAGAGTCGCCTCCCTTAGCATCCGATATACTTTTTACAATTATTGTCATATTTTTTACTTTTTATATATACAATTTTCTTATGATAAATTTATAATAAAAAAATAAAAGAAAAGATACTTTTAAAGTTATAAGGTATTTTAAATGCAAAAAAGTTTAAAACGGAAGAAGAAAACTTTGAATTGGAAAATCATCGGTGAAAGAAGAAACACACCACTTTGATAACATTTTTCTTTTTTATATGATATGTAACATCCAAAAAAATTTTATTGCAAATGTTGAAAATAATAAGTCACATAAGATCACATTTGCTAAAAAAAATAAGATCACCTTTAAAGAACATTTTGCAAAAAAATTTTTTTTATAACATGAATCAAAATCTTTTCACATGATCAACTGGTTTTTACTGTGGTAATTATTGTAAAACAAATATAAATCATATCCACCGATTTCTGCAACATTTTAGGGCACATTTATAAAAATTTCTAAGGGGTTACTAGAATTAGAAGCTAATTTCGCCCCCTTTTTTTTTTTGCTAAATCTACATACAGTCTGCCCTTGTTTCAACAAAGTGGCTGGACATATAAGAAAATTTTATTCAACATTCGTTGAAACAAGGTTACTAATCACATTTCAATGAATTTTTATATGTTTTCATAATGTGTAACAACGTTTTTAAAAATTCATTGTATCAAAAATTTAATTATACAAGGGTTCACTGTGTTAATATTAATACACAGTGAATTCCGATTTAACGGATTTAAGGGTTTACCGGATAAATTTTCAAATCCCAATTCATCTATAATTATTTTATCCCGATTTAACGGATTTAACGGATTTCATATATAAATTCGATTTAACGGATTTTTTTTTTAAAATCTATATGTCCGTTCATAATAAAAATGTCTTGATATAGCGGATGATGATCATTTTTATTTTGAACTAGTAAAATTTTATAAAACAATAAAAACTTATGTATGACATAGGAAAATTTTCTGATGTTATATGTATGATGTCAGATTTGTAATAAACGGAAAATATTCACAACCAACCAGATCAAGAAAAATAGTTCATAATAATTGAATGTAATAAATAATAACATTGAAAAGTTCTGATGTAATATGTATATGTAATGTTTGATATTTTAAAAATCGAAAATGTCTTCACAACCAAAGTATTGTAATAAAACATGACATTAAGAAATTTTTTCTGATGTAATATGGGCTTATGTATTGCATCAGAAAAAATTTCATGATAGATTTGTAATAAAAATGATTTGTAATGATTGAAAATAAATTACTTATATAAAGAGATAGTAGTCCAATTGCTTGTAAATCGAAAAAATGTCTTCACAACCATTAGAAGAAAATCCAAATCAAACACTTAAAGTAATTAATTATGTTAATTAAATATTTCATTAGAAAAATTTATTAAAAATTAACCAATTTTTTAAAATCATATAGAAAAGAAAAATATTGACTAAAACACTAAAAAAAGAATTAAGTGAAAAAAAAAGGGATAATCCAAATATTAAAGGTGTTGAATTGGCCCAAGAATATGGAATATCTGTGCAATCCGTTTCTGATATACTGAAACAATCTTCTCAATGGCTAGAATATGATGCAAGTTCAAGCCATAATCTATATAGAAATAAAAAATCAGATTACCCTGATATTGAAGAAGCAACAAGAATCTGGGTTGACCAAAATTTGGCTAGAAATTTAACATTAAGTGGTTCTATTATCCAAGAGAAAGCAAAAGAATTTGCTAGTCTTTTTGAAATTGATGATTTCAATGCTTCTTTAGGGTGGTTGAGAAATTTTAAAAATAGGAATAATTTACGTAGCTACAAAAAGAGAGGTGAATCATTAAGTGCACCCATTGATGAAATCGCCAATATGCAAAGCCAACTTCAAGAAGTCCTAAGAGAATATAACCCAGAAGATATATGGAATTGTGACGAAACTGCTTTATACTGGAGATTAGAACCAAATAGAACAATTTCCCATGCACCAACTTTAGGAAAAAAACGTCCCAAAGATCATATAACTGCTATGGTTACTTGCAGTTTGACTGGAGAAAAGCTTCCCATCCTTTTTATACATAAATATGAAAATCCAAGAAATTTGAGAGGGATTGCCAAAAATACACTTCCAGTATGGTATTATTGGAACACTAAAGCATGGATGCAAAGAAGTATTTTTAAACATTATTTAGAAAGATTTAATAGCAGGATGGTTAGAGAACATAGAAACATAATCTTGCTTTTGGATAATGCAAGTTCTCACAATGCTGAAAATATACCCACTTTATCAAATATCAAAGTCCATTTTTTCCCCCCTAATACTACATCTATTCTACAACCTTTAGATCAAGGAATAATCTATAGTTTAAAGGTACCTAATAAATTTTTATTAAATTTTCTATTTTAACATAAATTAATTTTCAAATTCTTTATAGTCAAAATATAGAAAGATCCTTTGTCAAAATAGAATTAGAGCTTACCAAGAAGCAGATGATAGTGGTCAAAATGTACCTGAAGTAAATATTTTTGATGCAATTAATTTTATATCTAATGCTTGGGATCAAGTAACAACTGAAACAATTATAAGTAGCTGGGAAAAAACAAAAATCATTAATAACCTAAGTTCAATTAATTTAACAAATGAAGATTCAAACCGACAATCAGAAGTAAATGAAATAAATGATTTAATTAGTGAACTTCCCTTTACAGATAATCTAAATGCCAATGAATTTATTACCGTTGACCAAAATCTTGTTATTCAAGAAGAAATGACAGATGAAGAGATTGTGAATATTGTAAAACGACAGTCAGGAAATGAAGATGATAATGAAATAAATGAGCCTGAAGCTGAATCAGCAGTTACTGATACAGAAGCCATAAAAGGTTTGGAAGTGGCACTTAAATATGTGCAACAAAAAAATTTAGATATTGATTTTCAAGTAATTAGAAGTATCAATAAATTAAAGAGGGAAATTTCTCATAAGAGTTTTCAAGAAAAAGTACAAATGAGAATGGATGATTATTATATGATGGAATAAAATATTTTTTTTGTTTTGTAGTTATATTATTTTATTACTGTATTTTATTATTTTTAATATATATATTAATAAATTATGACTCGTGTCACATGATCTCATGATTTGTACAACTTGCTCGATTTTGCGGATATTAGCGGATAAATTTTTTGGAACAAACATATCCGCTAAATCGGAATTCACTGTGTATTAGATTAAGAAGCTAGAAGTTGTCAGTTATATTTAAAATACTTAGACTTGAATTTGGTTCATTTTTATAAATATGTATGTATTATGTATGTATATATACACTCTCCCGAATTTAATCGGTGACAATAGTAATAATAATAATGAAATAATAATAATAATGATAATGATAACGA